CGGTAACTATTTTCAAGCTCGTCTACCTTCAAAGTGGACGATCTGTGAGATCTTGGATTTTCTTCTGTATGGAGGCTTCTTTGCTTGTTAACGAGGCAACGCCGTCTTCCAGGTCACCAATGCGGGATTCTGCAGAGGTAAGCCTCGAGAAACGCTCCGCTTGTCTTTAATTTCTTGATTCGAAGTTATAATCTCCCGTAGTTGCGTGGTAAAATGAGTTTTCAAGGCTTGGATTGCATCCATGAGGTTAGCTTCAGAAATCTGGGAGCTAGCGCTAGCCTCCTCCATGTGCTCGGTTTCCACTTCGCTGCTAGCGTCACCTTCGGGTCCCTCTTTGGTGGTTGTTTTTAATTTTAACTTATGTTTAACCGGCATCTTGGAGTGTTGAATTGAACCTCTAGCTTATACTCGTACAAAAAATAACTTATCAGTGGTCTAGATATCTAAAAACAGGGTGTGTTGGTCGGAGCTCAGAGCCCAGCACCTGCTCAGTAAGGCGCCATAACCGGAAGTCCCTTGTTTTGTATTAATAGTGTTACGTAGACCTGCCACAGTTACTGTCATCGTTTCTAAACCTTCTAGCATTAAGAAACAGATAAATGTAGTCAAAGTCACGGTTTCTTTTTAGATCCAGTGGGGTGACTGTAGTGCAGCTGACTTGGGACCAGAAAGTTGCAGGTTTGACTCCCTGCCATACTCATCTGCTGCAATGTCCTTGAGCGAGAGAGCTTCCCCACCTGCTCCCCGTGTGCTTGTGTAGCTGCCCGCTGCTCCACTTGTCTTGTGTGATGTTTGACATGTGCAGCACGAACTGTCACTGTAAAAGAACATACATGGACGATGAAACGTGGCCGTTCCTAAAGAAAAACAAACGATGGATCACTCTGTAGTTTAGTGTGGCTGAGTGGTTAGAGCAGTCATCCTCCAATGGGAGAGTTGGGGGGTCGATTCCACCAGCAGCCACATGTTGTAGTGTCCCTGGGCAAGACACTGAACCCCTCGTTGCCTCTGATGTGTGTCCCATCAGTGACTGAATGTGTTAAAGCTCTGATTATTCTTTGTACAGATCTAGTAGAGTGCTGTATCAGAGTCAGAGTTTCTTTATTGTCATTCGCACCTCATGTGGTACATGTGGTGGAGTGAAATTATGTACACGGGGTCCCAGTTACATCCAACAATATAATGTATAAGAAAAACTGTAATAACATCTAAGATATGAACTAAGAAAAAAAAAACTCAACTAAATATACACTAAGCACTCATAACATAAAACATTGAACATC